ATGGAAATATTTAATGTTTTTGCGTAGTCTATACAAGGACAAAGAGATCTGGTGCGCATTCATAAAATGATATATAAATGGAAGGCGGTGTTAAGGCTGTTATCAATAATAATAAGTCTTTCTGGAAAACTTCCTTCATTCATATTTATTTTGGTTTGATAACTAAAAATATAGGTATGTATGAATAAAGATAACCCTAAAATAATTTATTGATACAGGAAAAGACACTTCCTCGGTCTGGTGCATTAACTAAATGAAAATGACAAAATAAACTTAAATGTTGCAACACATGTGTATTTTGTTATTTCTATAGTATCTATATTTATTTATTGTGAGATCTGGAAAATTCCACAGCTATTTAATATATATTTACGTGTTTAGGATTAGGCGTGTTCCTCATTTGTCTGTGAGGATCTCTCAGTACAGGGTGGGCAATTAAGAACGCAAAGTAAAACCTGCAATTTAGGCCAAAGAAAATTTTATATGGAAATCCCTCAGAATTTTATCCTTGTGTACTAATTTTTCTGGAATTTCTTTTTATTATTAAGTTGTGGCCCTAAAAAAGAAAGGTTTCTAATGCTCCCGTCAATGCTCGAAAAGCTGACCACTACGCTCTGTACATTCCTGAAGCCTCTCATGGGTAGACAAAACTGCAGCTTCAATTTCGGCTCTCGGTATGCAATGTATCGCATTACGAATTCGGTTTTTCATATCTTCTTTGGTTGTAGGTTGAGTCTGAAACACGTCGCCCTCTAACCGTTCCCATAAATAAAAATCAAGAAAAGTTAAGTGTGGTGATCGCTAAGGCCACAGAAACAGACGTACTCTTTCCAATACTGCATTGATATGCTGTCGCACAATATGCTGGGCAACCGTGTTTCCACCACACATTTAAACTTCAACGCCCTTGGTGCCGAACTTCACGCAACGTGTTCGGATTTTCTGCAGACCCGCGCCACTATTAAAGGTGGCTTCAACGGTCCAAAGAATTTTAAATAAAAATTCTCTATTTTCGCGTAGCACATGCCTAACATCCAATGACAAAAGTCTAACCTCCGATCAAAGTCTTCCCCTTTCGAGGCCTGATGCAAAACGACATGATGTGGGTGCATTCTAAAAGTTAAATTCAAATAAATCCATATATTTTGATGGCAATTAGCTATGGCCTTGTTAACACGAGAATTTCTTTCAGTATTGCGCAGTACGCGGTTAATATTTTCTTGTGTTTTCCAATTCTTTGCCGTTGACACCCAGGCCGAAAACTACCTTTGGCTTGTAAGCTAGCCAGTAAACGGCGTGTTTTCGAGAGGGACACAAGTTTGGCAAAATATCACGTTAGTACGTGCAGCCCCCTAAGCGGGGGTGACACCACCTCCAAAATCTTAAATGGATAGGGGGGTCGAGTGATACCTTATTTTAAAGGTCTTTCAATTCCCTTTATAATGATATAAAATTATTGTACTTCAGTTCAGTAGTTTTGAAGATTTATTGATTTAAAGCTTAAATAAAACTGATACATCATCATTAGCGGAGATCAATCACGTTTGGCAGCAAAGTAATTTAAAAATGAAGAATGAAATGACCCGTTAGGCAAGTAGATGATGAAAATGGCCACCATGACTCTCCATGCAATAACATTACAAAACATCTTTTGTAGTTACGCCCTCTAGCGGCCAGTTCAGCAGCTTGAAAGTATTTTGCATATTTTTCTCTAAATTCCCAGATACAGCACCTAGCATTCTTAGTTGACCACCCTGTACTGCTGCGCTACATGTCGCATTATATTAAATCTCGGTAGCATGTATTTCTTACTATTGACAATGTCGTTTCAATATTTTACGAGTAAACTTTCCCACGAAGACGCAACCACGACGGAACTATAGTTACGATGATATCAGTTTTGCTATCTGTCATCGCCGACTCCGAAAGCTGTTTTTTGTTATTGTCGGTTTCGATATTTGACCCAAACTTCAGCAGCTTGTCGTCAACAGGACGCTGATCGCTCATTGAGGGTAAGAAAAGGAAGTAAAGAAAAACTCTTCCGCTGGGTTTTTGATTAAAGTATGTACTCAGTACTTATCCTCTCAGCTCGCAATACCATAAAATTCTTAATAGTTTTTCCATAAAAAGATTCCATGCGGCAATTATAGTGCGAATTGGGACACCTCACTTGTTTTATTTGAATAATTAATGATATTCGTATATACGTATATGACATTCTTAGCCTGAATCGGAAAGTTTGTAATGTTTTTATTGTATCCTGTAAAATTTCATAATACGGGCATAATAATTTTGAAACATTATACAACATTCATATGAAGGACTTTAGAGGCGGCTTGACGACAGATACTCATCTACAATGAACAATTAGAGAAACGACTTTGTGGAAACACAAATATATAATAAAAATCTGAGATAACCTTGTTGTAAATGCTTATTATAGTCTAGGAGCCACCAACTCCATTTAATTTGAATACAGGGCATTATTAGACACCTATGAAAAAGCAGGTCACGCGATCCAAATCGTGGTCATTGGCCGCCATATTTAAAAAGAGTCGCCAAGTTGTGAAAGGGTTATTCGACATAGCTTTGTAGCCTGTGGGTCGATTTTAACTTCTTAATGGTATTTTTACTTCTTTCTAAATTCGGTATCGATTTTCGGAAAAATGCCTTACTGAATTTAGTTCCCAATTTGTTCACCGATTCGATCTTACCTGACACGTAAAGAAATTTTTGTAATAAATTTAAAACAACCATTTATCACGTCAAAGTCATACTAACCACACTTTGCGCTAGTCTTGACAGAAAATTAATATAATATATATAATAAATACGGAGCCTGATTAAGCACCTTTAGGGGTATATAAAGAACGAGATCACGCGATCCAAATCGTGGCCGTTTGGCAGCCGTAATTAAAAATGACCGCCAACGTACAACAATGTTTTGGTAATCACTGGACCGATTTTTTTTCAAGCTCATTTAATTCCTTTTCTAAATATATCATATTATATTTTGTAATGTTTTCGATTATCCATTAATTGTGGAAATATATCAGGATCTCTAACTCTTATCATTTGGCGAAGGCATTCAAATAAAACTACGTCTGAAATATACTAAGTGACATATAAATCCGAAGACCCAGTTTAAATGGTTTTATTTTAATAAAATTTTGTATAAGTACTTAATGAAGCATAATAAGTAAATGATAAAAATTTCAAAATGATTGCACTGCTTTAAAGCCCTTTGACCTTTAATAATATGTGGATGCACCCTGATGTGCTACGCATTCTCCAACGCGCCTAGGCATGCTTCTGATCAGGTGGTCAATGTCCTCCTGTAGTATCTCATTCCAGGCAACCACCAACTCCTCTCGAAGTGCTTCTAGAGTCTGAGGAGGACTTTGCAAATTGAGCAATCTCCTACCCATCATATCCCACACGTGCTCAATTGGGGATAAGTCGGGAGATCTTGGTGGCCATGGTAACAATGTTGAAAGAAGTCTATTGTGACTCTTGCAACATGTGGTCGGGCATTATCTTGTTGGAAAGTTGGATCTGCCAGGGTGTCAAGATAGGGTAAAAGATGGGGTTCTAGAACTTCGTGGATATAACGCTGCGCGTTCATGTTACCTCTGATGAAGATTAAAGGTGACCTGGAACCATAAGCTATAGCACCCCAAACCATAACTCCAACAGTGTGATGAACATGTCTTTCAACAAAAAACTGTGGATTCTTCCTTTCACCACGTCGCCTTCTAACCCTGGCACGACCATCGTGCATACCTAAACAAAATCGAGACTCGTCACTAAAGACAATACTGTTCCATTCCTGATCCCAGAGTGACCGTTGTCTGCACCACTCAAGGCGATTACGTCGGTGTTCTCGAGTTAAAGGGAGGACCCAGTGTGGCCGGTATGAAAACAAGCCAAAACTTCTCATTCGTCGGTAAACACTTCGCATGCCAATAGGTCTTCCGTGTTCTGCAAACCATTCATTTGCAATGGACCTGGTAGTGGAGAAACGGTCCCTTAAGGCCAATAATCTTAGGCGGCGATCTTCACGGTCTGTTGTTCTACGGCGGCGTCCAGTGCCCCTTGCTCTTTGCGTACGGCCTTCTCGAAGCCATGCCTGACAACACCTAACCACAGTGTCTACACTTCTTTGCACTCTAACTGCAATTGCCCGAAAAGAAAGTTCAGCTTCCCGAAGTCCCATTATACGGCCCCTATCAAACTCACTAAGTTGACGAAATCGTACAGGTCTCCGTACTCTAGGCATCGTAACCGATCGTAAAGGATGTCAAGAACCAAAATCCGCCAACGTTGATTCTTTACTGCGGCTGAAATACTCATTTTTAGAGCGTTAGTGAATTAAAAAAAAGCAGTATAAAAACCGGAATGTCCAACTGATAAGGCTGAAAATTTTTTCACTTGTTATTTACAGTAAGATAAATACATTCACCAACTTTTATTAAAATAAAACCATTTAAACTGGGTGTTCGGATTTATATGTCACTTAGTATAATTCAGTTTTGGAAGAGCTAAAACCAATTTGGAACAGTTAAAAGTACTGCATTTACAAAGTTGTTGGGACACACACGAGTATTAAAACATCACCTATTCCGAGTATAGGTCATGTTTTCAAATCGCGACCAAATCGTAAAATATTTTGTTGAGCGTTATGTCTCAATATTTATTGAAAATGTAGAATGTTTGCCTTGAAGTAAAAAAATTAAAAATCACAGGTTACTATTGTACAACTAGGCGGCCATTTTTAAATATCGCGGCCAAACAACGACGATTTGGATCGCGTGACCTGATTTTCATATACTCTTGTAGGTACGTGCAAATGCGCTGTATTTTAACAGAGGGGACATTTAGCGGCACACACGACTTTACTGGCTGCTCCTAGACTATTGGTTAAATCGACAACAAATAAGAATAAATATCACCATTTCGACTATAAATAAAGCTTTGTTGAGGCTCTGAAACAACTTTGACGTGCCTCTCGTTCAATACAGTTGAACCAAAATTTTTGTTCAGCTCCTGATTTGTCATTCGACAATCCTTTACTTGGATGTCACAAGAAATCATAGTCAACTTTAGTAATATCAGTATAAAAAGTGAAGATGTTTAGAATAATTGTTGTGTTTCTTGTGATTTTCTTAGTGTTTGCTATAGTTTTGTTCACCAGCTTTGACATCGGTGCTGAAGCCGCCGCAAAAGATTTACTTGTGGCCGAAGAACTTGTGACAGTAGTAGCGGTGAGTAAAACGATTACTGAGTAGGTATATACAGGGTGACTTGTAATGCCACGTATTCCTGTTAAGGGGTGATAGGACAAAAGCAACCGATTTTGTCCTATAATGTCCTATCCGAAGTTAACCGTTTTTGAGTTACTTGAATTTACGGTTAAATTTGAAATACAAAAAACTACATGTTTGATTTTGAGTTTTTTGTTATCGTCGCATAGTGGACATGTCAATAGTTCATAATAAGTAATAAAATGTTGAAAACTTACAAAAGTTTTAAAATTACGCTTTTGAAATGTATGATTTTCTTATTTTTTTACTAACTTATTCGATAAAAAATGCAATTTTCTGTAAAAAATCTCCTAGTAATTACATGTGCAAATTATGCTTTCATTTGAGGTATAAAAGTTACAACTAACTCAAGTACAAAGACATAAAATTAAAAAAGATGAGTAAAGTTGTACGAACGATAATTACGTAGGATAAATAAAATGCTTTTATTTTAATTACAGTTTTTTTTAATTACATTTCCTTTAGTATTCCACAGATTCTGCTCAAATTGTAATCCCCTGTTACGAATACACGCTCGCATTCTCTTACTTTTGGTAACTCTAGTTGTTAAGCGGCTTTTTATTTCATCAGCTGCACTGATTATCCTTGTAATTAATTCATCGCGCGTTGGTACGTGCGAAACATCGTACACCAGGCTTTTCATATGTCCCCACACATAGTAATCCATCGGTGTGAGATCTGGGCTTCTTGCTGGCCAGGCAATGGGCCCGCCTCTGCCAATCCATTGATTTGGAAATTTAGAGTCTAAATACGCACGTATGGTTTATCTGAAGTCACTTGAAATAGTTTGGTCGGCCCGTCCTTTGTAATTTCATGACGTATCATAGGCGTGCGGTTATTTATTTTGAACGATAATAATAATGTTTTTATATCACAATAAATGGATTTTACTATCTTCTTATTTTTTTGATTTGGGATAAAAAATACTTATATTGGGAGTTTAATTTATGTTGACTGAAAGTTAAGAAATGGAAAAATTACAGAATTCCAACGTTTGACATAGGCAAATATTTACATAGCAGGTATGTATATAAAAAGGTATATAAAGACTTACATTATAGGTATTTATATATCATCCTCGCCTTCGGAGCTGTCGCTAGAGTCATCTTGTAGAGGAATTACAACGGGATTTACAGGAGGCAAAACACAATATTCATTTTCTTTTTCAATAATATGCCTAGAACACTGCTTCCATAGGTCTGTGGCAGCAATATGAGATACTGCATCTCTTATTGTGGCCAATAGCGATTCACTTAATTGAGGGGTCTGATTATGTTTTCTTACTTTTTTTTTTAAAGCAGCACAGACCAACTCAATCGGGTTAAAAATGCAGTAATAGGGAGGTAGACGTAATACTTCATGGCCATTTTGCTGAAGCAGATTGTCAACAACATACTCTTTTTCAAATTTTTGTCTTTTAATAAGATCCAATAATATGGCTTTGGTTGATTTTTGTGGTATTTCCATTCCCTTATCCTTCATAAAATCAATAATGTCTTGTTTTTTTGTGCCTGTATTCGGAATTTTGTTTTTCTGTCGGGAATGGCATGGCGCATTGTCCATAATAATCACTGAATTTGGGGAAATGTTTGGTATTAACTGCTGCTCTATCCACTTTTCAAATAAGTCGGAGGTCATGTCCTCATGATAGTCGGCACATGATTCTTTGATATTTTTGGCAGATAACAGCAAGGCATTAGGTATAAATCCATTTTCACTGCCGGCATGGAGAATAATGATTCGTTTTCCACGGTTGCATGGTGCATTTAAAATGCACTTGTTGCTGTCGTCAACCCAGCCGTACTGCACAACATCATGGATATCATACCACGTTTCATCCAGGTAAATCAGATTTCTTTTCTGCTCTCTATAAATTTTAACTTTGTGCAAAAATTCTTGGCGCAATTCAACGATTCGAGACGACTCCATAATCACCATTCTTTTATCTAATTTTTTGTATTGAAAACCACACAGTTTTACAATACAGTGCAGCGAGTCTAAGCATTTGTAATTATAAAAATCTTCAGGATAATCTTTTAATTTATCCCGTATCATTTCCAACGTGGGCACCAAATTTTCTTTATAAAATCCGTATATTATACGACGAATATCTTCCTGAAAACCCTCGTCTATTCTTTTTAATTTTTGCCCTATGCGCTTTCTGTGGAAGGAATGGTTGACTACATCTCCCCTTTTTATAACCCGATAAATGGTAGACCGACTGATTTTTGTCAGGATACAAATTCTGTTTAAAATTTTAATTTTGCGAGGAATCTGGATTTTCGTTTTTCAGACAATCATACATATTTAGGATTACTCTTTGAGTCTGTTCCTCTAATATCTTTATGAAAGAATTCTGCCTGCACAGGTTCATCAACCATCTCCTCGTGGCTTGGAGCATTTTCCCAAGGTGTCCAAAGAGCCATATTTAGGACACACAAGAAGAATCAACACAACAATTAAATCAACAAGTAAACTGAGTATTCAAAAGTCAAAAACACACAAACTAATAAAATCTATGAAAAAACACGGACAGACTAAAGAAAGCACGTTTATTCACCGCTACACGGCACTGGCTAAACTGTTTCAATTTTCAGTAGCCACCTGCACTTGTTCGGAGCTCTGAAATACACGCTTTCTCATTGGCTATGTCCACGCATAGGCGTGCTTTACTCCACGTGGACCGGTGAAACTGCCTGACTGATCTTATACGGGGGATATTTGCTGCGAAATTTGGCGATTTTTGCAGCAACAGAGCGTGTTAAATATAGATATATAAAACGCACCCGGTATTTCACAGTGTTTCAAGTGACTTCAGATAAAGTATACTAATCTACTGTAGTGTGCGGGACAGCCGTAGTGCTGGAACCGCATATTTTGTCTCGTCGCCAATGGGACGTCTCCATTAATGGAAACAAGTGATTTTTCAAGAACTCTTCATACACTTCTCCACTTAAATGAGGTCCAATTAAATATCCATCAATGATGCCCATCCACACATTGACTGAAAATCGGCTGTGAGACCCAGTCTGTCTTATTTTTCGGGGGTTTAAAGCTTCTTTATCGGCCCAGTAATGAGCATTATGGTAGTTAGTGATCCCGTCCTTATTAAAATTCGAATGATCGGTCCACAGAATTTTCTTAAAATAGTCTGGACCTTCTGTATCTGCATGTAACATGTACCTGCAGAAATCTAATCGTCTTGTAGGATCGCCCTCTTCAATCACATGCACAGGCGTGTAGTGATAAGGGTATAATCTTGCAGTATGCACAGTAAACCATACTTTGTATTGTGATATACCCAACTGAGCAGCCACAATGCGCGTAGACGTAGTAGGGTCTTCCTGAAACACACGAAGGATTTCCTCTTCATCTTCAGGAGGATAGATTCGGGGTCGACCAGCATCACTATGTTGCCTTTGAACACGTCCGGTTTGGCGGATGCGCCGATGCACAGAGTCAAACACAGTAACATGAGGTGTTCGGCGATTCGGGAAACGTTGCCGATATTCACGGCGGGCAGCTGCAGAATCGCCGTTACAAAGTCCATAACAGAACATTATGTCTGCGTATTCTTCATTTGTAAAAGTTTGCCCGTGCTCGTTATGGCGAGGTCCTGGCGGATCTTCTGCGTCTGCCATGATGATAAAGAAACCACTCGAAATGAACTGGGAAACTCGAAAATAATAATCGTGCGTAAAACGTGTGCGCGTACGCAGCAGTTGATACCAACTAAACCTAATTCTCACTCGGCGTGCGGCGATGGCGTAACTACAATGATTAATAATAACAGCTCTCTCTCTCTCTCTCTCACTCCTCCACTAAGTCAGCTCTTCTCGCTCGCTTCCTCGTCGAGCCGATGCCATAAAACAATAAAATTCCTTAAAAATCCAGCCTCTGTGGGTGTCATTGTTGTTTCTCTGCATGTATACTTTATCTGAAGTCACTTGAAACACTGTGAAATACCGGGTGCGTTTTATATATCTATATTTAACACGCTCTGTTGCTGCAAAAATCGCCAAATTTCGCAGCAAATATCCCCCGTATAAGATCAAAGGCAGTTTCACCGGTCCACGTGGAGTAAAGCACGCCTATGCGGGGACATAGCCAATGAGAAAGCGTGTATTTCAGAGCTCCCAACAAGTGCAGGTGGCTACTGAAAATTGAAACAGTTTAGCCAGTGCCGTGTAGCGGTGAATAAACTTGTTTTCTTTAGTCTGTCCGTGTTTTTTCATAGATTTTATTAGTTTGTGTGTTTTTGACTTTTGAATACTCAGTTTACTTGTTGATTTAATTGTTGTGTTGATTGTTCTTGTGTGTCCTAAATATGGCTCTTTGAAGACCTTGGGAAAATGCTCCAAACCACGAGGAGATGGTTGATGAACCTGTGCAGGCAGAATTCTTTCATAAAGATTTAGAGGAACAGACCCAAAGAGTAATCCTAAATATGTATGATTGTCTGAAAAACGAAAATCCAGATTCCTCGCAAAATCAAATTTTAAACAGAATTTGTATCCTGACAAAAATCAGTCGGTCTACCATTTATCGGGTTATAAAAAGGGGAGATGTAGTCAACCATTCCTTCCACAGAAAGCGCATAGGGCAAAAATTAAAAAGGATAGACGTGGGTTTTCAGGAAGATATTCGTCGTATAATATACGGATTTTATAAAGAAAATTTGGTGCCCACGTTGGAAATGATACGGGATAAATTAAAAGATTATCCTGAAGATTTTTATAATTACAAATGCTTAGACTCACTGCACTGTATTGTAAAACTGTGTGGTTTTCAATACAAAAAATTAGATAAACGAATGGTGATTATGGAGTCGTCTCGAATCGTTGAATTGCGCCAAGAATTTTTGCACAAAGTTAAAATTTATAGAGAGCAGAAAAAAAATCTGATTTACCTGGATGAAACGTGGTATGATACCCATGATGTTGTGCAGTACGGCTGGGTTGACGACAGCAACAAGTGCATTTTAAATGCACCATGCAACCGTGGAAAACGAATCATTATTCTCCATGCTGGCAGTGAAAATGGATTTATACCTAATGCCTTGCTGTTATCTGCCAAAAATATCAAAGAATCATGTGCCGACTATCATGAGGACATGACCTCCGACTTATTTGAAAAGTGGATAGAGCAGCAGTTAATACCAAACATTTCCCCAAATTCAGTGATTATTATGGACAATGCCATTCCCGACAGAAAAACAAAATTCCGAATACAGGCACAAAAAAACAAGACATTATTGATTTTATGAAGGATAAGGGAATGGAAATACCACAAAAATCAACCAAAGCCATATTATTGGATCTTATTAAAAGACAAAAATTTTAAAAAGAGTATGTTGTTGACAATCTGCTTCAGCAAAATGGCCATGAAGTATTCCGTCTACCTCCCTATTACTGCATTTTTAACCCGATTGAGTTGGTCTGGGCTGCTTTAAAAAAAAAGTAAGAAAACATAATCAGACCCCTCAATTAAGTGAATCGCTATTGGCCACAATAAGAGATGCAGTATCTCATATTGCTGCCACAGATCTATGGAAGCAGTGTTCTAGGCATATTATTGAAAAAGAAAATGAATATTGTGTTTTGCCTCCTGTAAATCCGCACGCCTATGATACGTTATGAAATTACAAAGGACGCGCCGACCAAAGGTTTTTATGCTATTTCAAGTGACTTCAGATATACCATACTTCAGATAATTGAACGCTTAATACCTCAAATGAAAGCTTGTTAGATAGAGATATTATTTAAATAATTTGCACATTTCATTACTAGGAGATTTTTTACAGAAATTTGCATTTTTTATCGATGATGAAGAAGATGATACATTTAAAAAGCGTAATTTGTAACGTTTGTAGCTTTTCAACATTTTATTACTTATTACGAACTATTGGAATGTTCGCTATGCGGCGATAACAAAAAAATCAAAATCAAACATGTAGTTTTTTTTGTATTTCAAATTTAACCATCTGAAATCGGAATAAAAAATAAAAAAAAATAAAATTCAAATAAGTCGAAAACGGTTAACTTCTGGATAGGACATTATAGGACAAAATAGGTTGCTTTTGACCTAATCTATCACCCCTTAACAGGAATACGTGACATTACAAGTCACCCTGTATATGAAGTATTAAATTTAAGCTTGCAATTTCAGCTTTAAGAATTATCTCAAAATCATCTATCTAAAAATTCGGCATGTGTTGGTAGAGGAAATGAGATTCATCAGACTCCTGGATCAAATGTACGACAGGACTTCTTCGTATGAATGAATCCAAGGTTTCAAGGTAGCTACATTTACTGCCAAAAGATTTTAAGTGTTTTTCATTTTTTGCAGCTCTATCGACATGGAGACAGGGCTCCCAAACGAGCACTTCCAACAGTGAAATACAGTGATCCTTCGTATTGGCCGATGGGATTTCGAGAATTGACCCCGGTGAGAATCTACTCAACTATTTCAAAAATTTATTTGTGCGTGATACTGAATATATGAGTCTCTGCCTTTTTGACGATTTTAGGAGAACACATTAGTCAGTTATACAGGGTGATCGGACATGAACTGACGAAGTTTCTTGTGTAATTGTTAATCTGAGCGCCGCGGTTGCAATGATATAATTTTCGTCTTTACGCTGAGTAAATATCGTTAAAACTTTTTTGTTTGTCGAGAGAATCAGACGTAATAAATAATGCTTAATCAAAGCAAATACGTTGCTCGTACAAACTTCAAAACAATGACTTACGACCTTCCAACTGAACGAAGTGAATAAAAGTTTGAAATGAAAAATTACATAACAGAAAAATATAATTCGTTTTTGGAACTACCTTTGTTTATAAAGGTTTTGTGGTTTATTACCTTTCCAAATGAATGCTGTACATCACAGAAAAAATTCGTTATGCGATCAAAATAAGAGAATTGATGATGGTGATTTTATAAAGTTTTTCACGTTTTTCTTTAATTCAAATATATTTTTCGAATTGATAATAATTGGAAATAAATAAACAGGTACCCCTAGGAATACCTGTTACGAAGTTTTCAAACGAACACCCTGTATAATACAAAATTGGCTTCTTGGTTTGTAATCGATATCAAAAAGTGCTCTGTAATTGCAGAATGGTATACAAGGACAATACGAATTAGGACAATGGCTGAGGGAGCGTTATAGCACGTTTCTATCTCCATTTTATAAAGTGAATGAACTATACGTCAGATCTACAGATGAAGACAGAGCTTTGATGTCAGCTTACGCTACGTTGGCAGGATTGTACCCTCCTCAGGTAAATATATACTAAGTGACATATAAATCCGAACACCCAGTTTAAATGGTTTTATTTTAATAAAAGTTGGTGAATGTATTTATCTTACTGTAAGTAACAAGTGAAAAAATTTTCAGCGTTATCAGTTGGACATTCCGGTTTTTATACTGTTGTTTTTTAATTCACTAAAAATCAATATTTCAGCCGCAGTAAAGAATCAACGTTGGCGGATTTTGGTTCTTGACATCCTGTACGATCGGTTACGATGCCTAGAGTACGGAGACCTGTACGATTTCGTCAACTTAGTGAGTTTGATAGGGGCCGTATAGTGGGACTTCGGGAAGCTGGACTTTCTTTTCGGGCAATTGCAGTTAGAGTGCAAAGAAGTGTAGACACTGTGGTTAGGTGTTGTCAGGCATGGCTTCGAGAACGCCGTATGCAAAGAGCAAGGGGCACTGAACGCCGCCGTAGAACAACAGACCGTGAAGATCGCCGCCTAAGATTATTGGCCTTAAGGGACCGTTTCTCCACTACCAGGTCCATTGCAAATGAATGGTTCGCAGAACACGGAAGACCTATTGGCATGCGAAGTGTTTACCGACGAATGAGAAGTTTTGGCTTGTTTTCATACCGGCCACACTGGGTCCTCCCTTTAACTCGAGAACACCGACGTAATCGCCTTGAGTGGTGCAGACAACGGTCACTCTTGGATCAGGAATGGAACAGTATTGTCTTTAGTGACGAGTCTCGATTTTGTTTAGGCATGCACGATGGTCGTGCCAGGGTTAGAAGGCGAAGTGGTGAAAGGAGGAATGCACAGTTTTTTGTTGAAAGACATGTTCATCACACTGTTGGACTTATGGTTTGGGGTGCTATAGCTTATGGTTCCAGGTCACCTTTAATCTTCATCAGAGGTAACATGAACGCGCAGCGTTATATGCACGAAGTTCTAGAACCCCATCTTTTAATTAATTAATGCCCGACCACATGTTGCAAGAGTCACAATAGACTTCTTTCAACATAATGTCACATTGTTACTATGGCCACCAAGATCTCCCGACTTATCCCCAATTGAGCACGTGTGGGATATGATGGGTAGGAGATTGCTCAATTTGCAACGTCCTCCTCAGACTCTAGAAGCACTTCGAGAGGAGTTGGTGGTTGCCTGGAATGAAATACCACAGGAGGACATTGACCACCTGATCAGAAGCATGCCTAGGCGCGTTGGAGAATGCGTAGCACATCAGGGTGCATCCACACATTGTTAAAGGTCAAAGGGCTTTAAAGCAGTGCAAATGAAAATTTTATCATTTACTTATTATGCTTCATTAAGTACTTATACAAACTTTTATTAAAATAAAACCATTTAAACTGGGTGTTCGGATTTATATGTATAGTTCGTTTTTGATACCATTCAATTTTGTATCGCCTTTCAAACCTCCGTGTTGGTGATGGTATGCTATAAATTAACCCCCTCTATTATTTTGTGAGACGATGAAGAAAAACGTTTTAAACAAGGTCTAACATATTTTTCCTACAATAACTTTTTTGTGTACAGGATATATCTGCTATCGAATATTCCTTTTAAATGTATAATTTTTGTGGAAATTTATTTATAAGGCAAAATCGTGATCTTTCGTTATTTGGCTAAAGAAATGTCACCTTAGGAATATTGACTAGAAAACAAGTGTTTTTGTACAAAAAATTCAGAATTTTCAAAAACTTGTTCGATCAATTCCAATATATTTGAGCAATTCAAGATATCTGCGTCGTATTACAAACAAGTGACAAAACAATCATTTTGTCGTTCTTTTGGGGTATAACTTTTTTGTTTCTTAATCAGAGCTTTTCGTGGGTTAGCTGCCTTAGCTTATTTCGAATTCGAATTTTAGTTTGCTTCCAAGAAACGCATTCTTCGTTGTTGCAAAACAGCTTTCCCTACATATAACGTTGATTTAATTGTTAGAAATCCTTTAATGCCCTATTCTTAAAACGCTATTCAGTAAATACAGGGTGGCGCATCGAAAACGAAACAGACGCACGTACTGGCAGCTCAGTTTTTTTTGGAAAAACGCTCAGACCCGTCGATTTTGTTTTCACACAAGTTTGATACCTTATTTTAAAGGTCTTTCAATTCCCTTTATAATGATGTAAAATACATGAGCTTCAGTTCAGTAGTTTTGAAGATTTATTGATTTAAAGCTTGAAGTAGACTTTAATAGGTACATCAGATTAGTTTGTACTAATTTCAAAAGAAATTTGACTAAAAGAATTCACTTAATAAGTAAATGCTTTTCTTCACTACGTCCATGGTTTGTTTATCATTTTGTTGTTGAAAATAGCTATTGGAGCGTTTTTTTGTGGCAAAAAAGTTATTTCTTGAAGAAAGATAAGGAAATATCTCGTACTTATTTTAAATAGGAATTTAGTACATAGTTTGAGATTGGTTTGACCAAACTTTGTTGCTAAAATAACTTGTAACGCTTTATTACATAAATTAACCATGGTATATTTCCACAGCAGAAAGAGTTGAAATTATCGAAACATTTTTCGGAAATAATCAGTGCGCTAATAGAACAGCAGAAATATTTAATAACCATAGGCGTAGTGAAGAAAAGCATTTACTTATTATTAAGTAAATTCTTTTAGTCAAATTTCTTCTGAAAGTAGTACAAACTAATCTGATGTACCTATTAGAGTCTACTTTAAGCTTTAAATCTATAAATCTTCAAAACTACTGAACTGAGGTACATTATCTATATATCATTATAAAGGGAATTGAAAGACCTTCAAAATAAGGTATCACTCGACCCCCCTTTCCATTTAAGATTTTGGGGGTGGTGTCACCCCCGCGTAGGGGGCTGCACGTGCTAACGTGATTTTTGCCAAACTTGTGTCCCCCTCGAAAACAAAATCGTCGCGTCTGAGCGTTTTAAAAAAAAAACTGAGGTGCCAGTAAATGCGTCTGTTTCGTTTTCGATGCGCCACCCTGTATGTATTTTAGATTATAAAGTGCACTTAGTCATAAAAAATCATAACATTAAAAACGTTTTTTAAAAATGTCCGATTATGTAGCGTTGATAACGTTTAAAACGTAACGTTTTTATAGATGATTCGGAAAACGCTTCACACGCTGAAACGTAACAGACACGTGTTACTATGATTCAAGCAAAAAATGCGGATCAAGACCGGAAAATTCGCGTATCAATATGGGGAAAATTCGTTTTGAATGTCAAAATATAGCTAATGCATTCTAAAATTTAGACAGAACGCATAAAAATAATGGTGTAATACAATATTTATTGTTGCGTACGTTTTTCCCCAAGAAATTTATTAATTTTAGTATACGAGGAGGTACCCAAAAATAACCGGAATAGCATTGCAGTGGGCGGAGATTGTGTAGTACACATTTCTGCCGCTAGAGGCGTACAGCGCAACTCATTACCAGTTCAGTGCCACCTGAATCGTCGATCTGGCTTGTTTCGTTTCTCTGTAGTCATTATTTTTGCTAGAGCTGTTTCGTGCTGGTTTCTTTTTGATTCAGTGAGCAACGTGCAGCTGTGAAATTTTGCTTTCTAACTGGTAAAAATGCTGCTGAAACTGTTTTAATGTTGAAAGTAGCTTACAAAGAAAAAAAATTCAGTGAGCAACGTGCAGCTGTGAAATTTTGCTTTCTAACTGGTAAAAATGCTGCTGAAACTGTTTTAATGTTGAAAGTAGCTTACAAAGATGCTGCTATGGGAAAAACTCAGCTGTACGAGTGGTTTGCTCGATTTAAAAATGGCGACGTGTCGTTTGACGACAAACCTCGCTCTGGATGTCCATCAACTGCCCGAATCGACGAAAATGTTGAAAAAATTCGAAAGCTTGTGCTATTTGGAGGTTTTAAAGAGAAACACCACGATAATGCACCTGCGCAACGATCTCTGTTCAACAGTTTCTGGATAAAAATGGCACGGTTCCGCTGCCTCAAAAAACGAGGGAGGAGCTACAAGACATTTCTAAGGAAGACTTCAAAAAATGTTTCCAGCAGTGGTGGGACAAGTGTACTAGTTGTAGTGGACAGTATTTTGAAGGAGTTGAGGTTACTTTGTGAAAAAGTTGAAAATAAATAGCTTTTAAAAATAATTCCGGTTTTTTAGGTACCCCTCGTATAATTGAAACACTAAATTTTATTGTTCAGTTTCACTGTGATTTTAGACTATGATACAAGAAGTATCTAGACATTAGTCTGAAATAACAATAATGAAAAAATGTGCGCCTGTTTGGCTGACTTGATCCATTTATTTTTTCGTAGTTGACTTTCTTCTCGGAGCGGCTAACTTGTATCGCACATAATACTTTTTTTCAGGGATTTCAACTTTGGAACGAAAACATTCCTTGGCAGCCTATCCCTGTGCACACGATTCCCAGGAAAATAGACGACGTCATCGTGCAGAAGAGGAAGTGTCCGAAATACGACAATCTGTATAAAGATACGGTCAATTCGGACTTTTTCATCAGCGAAAATGAAAAGCACGCAGACTTTTACAAAAACTTGTCTCAATGGACGGGACTTACGGTCAAGGATTTTAAAGATATCGAGAAGATCAAGTCGACGTTGGATTCTATAAAAAGTTACAATCCATCGTATCTGCCGGAGTGGGAGAAAGATCTTGACTGGGATCTGTTGAATTATCTACATGGATTTGTATACAGAAGGTAAGCGATAAAAGTTATTTCGTTGATCGTGTAATGCAGAAATTGCGTTAAGTGAAGTGTTTTCCGATAAGGAACTGAAGCAAATGAATTATTTTTTATTTAAAATACAAAAACTGTTTGTCTGATCAACGGTTCGAAACAGCAGTTACCAAGTTTCCAAGCGGGCTAGCGGCGGCGACTTTTAAAAATTTTGATATTTTATCATTTCAAAATGATGTTTTAAACTTTCCCTGGAGCATTATACAGGGTGTCCGCAAAGTTGGGGTTTTCCTTTTCAGAAACAACTACCCTTGAAATAACAAAGGTAATGTGTAGTGAAACGAGGGCGACCAAGTAAAAAAAATAAAGGAAAAAGTACTCACTCTCCAGTTGACGAGAAGGGCTAAGTACGTCTCTGCCCGAAATCATACCGCTCCAACAGAAAATGAAATCAGCTGATGCGCTACCGAGCAGACGCAGGCAAACAAGGAAGGCAAAATGTTGCGTAAAAAGTGTAGGTATTGCATCCCGTCCAATCGATTTGGGAGAATAAATGGTCCAATGAGCATACCGTTCACCATACCAGCCCAAACATTCACCGAAAATGTTTGTTGAAAATGTGCCCGACGGACAGCGTGCGGATTTTCTACTGACCAAACATGAGTGTTGCGAAAGTTATTCACCCCATTACGCGTGAACGTAGATTCGTCTGTCACCAATATGCACTTCAAAAAGTCCGGATTATTGTCATGTTGATGCAACAACCACTCACAAAACCGCACTCTTGCTGGAAAATCGTCAGGTTGAAGGGCTTGTACACGTTGGACGTGAAACGGATACAGCCCCTCTTCACGCAGCGTTTGCCAGACTTTAGTTTTTGATACTTGCACTGCTCTAGCCACGTCGCTAGTGCTTGTTGAGGGATTCTCGTCTACGCGATTACCTCTACACGCGTGACCGTAACCGTCGGTTGAAGGTTGCATACTGACCTGACACACTGACTCCGACCCAGTTCTGCCGTCGGGTTGAGACCTTGTACCAATCGGTGATGTCAGGGGTCGCGGCTACAGGACGGTATTCAGATATTTTTGATGTTGCAGAGCCCTTTATCTCGGTTCCCTTAATACATTGGTGTATATGGTACTAAGAAAAATTGCTTATGTTTTCAAGATCTACACGTCGTGTAAAGGAAAACCCCAACTTTGCGGACACCCTGTATATTCCGTAGAGAGTATTGATCACAAAACTTCATATTTGACGGATGGGCTAAAATTAATTTTTGATAAGCATGCACCTCTAAGAATTGAACGTGTAAATAAACCGCATGCACCCTGGCTATCATCCCAGTTTGAACGTATGATGAAAGACAGAGACATAACTTTAAGTCAGTTTAAAATTAATAAGACATAAGATTCCTGGAATCGCTTCAAAGAGCTCAGAAATTCAACTTTAAGTCAAATTAGATACGAAAAAGCAGCATATTTATTATCCGTCAACAAAATGATTCAAAAATGTTTTATAGATCCTTAAAATTAATGCGTATCCAACAGTCACAAAATACCGATATTCCTTTACATTTAAAAAACCCTACTGACATTAATAATTATTTCTGTTCCATTTTTCATAACGCCATTTGTTCATGCACAGAGAAGATTGAGGATTATGAAAATAATCACTATTCTAGTGATCGATTCAAGTTTAAGCCAGTCGACATGACTGATTTAAAATCGATGTTCCAGCCTCTGAAATCGAATGCCTTGGAAAAAGATGGCGTGTCACTCAGAATGCTAAAACTATGCTTCTTTGCGATTTCAGGTCTCATTTTACACATCATAAATACCTGTTTAGAAAGGGGATTCTTCCCAGAATCATGGAAAGAAGCATTAGTGTTACCTCTAGCTAAAATAAGTAAACCAAAATTATATTCTGATTAAAGACCAATTAGTATTTTACCTGTTTTGTCCAAATTATTAGAAAAGTATGCCCAAATTTACGATTATCGCTCTAAACATAAAATTTCGCCTCTCAAACGATGCGGTTATTGAAAAGGATATAACACTGCAGGTGCCTTATCAGACTTAACCGATAACATTGTTAGAGCCTGGGATCAATATATGATCACATCATTAGTTCTTCTTGAATTCTCTAAGAGCATTCGATACCATAAATCATCGTCTTCTAGTAGCTAAGTCTAAATATTTTGGTTTTTCTGATTCTGCCTTCAAAATGAATCAGAGCTTAGAAAATCGATATCAAAGGGTACACATTCACATGGATCTATTTTCAAAGTGCCTCATTTCCTCCGGAGTGCCTCAAGGGTCCATACTTGGGCCACTCCTATTCATCTGTATATTTCTGATCTCCACTCAGTTGTTAAATATTGTAATATCCAATTCTTTGCCGACGATTCACGGATCTACAGTCATTTCCATAATCACGACATTCGAAATGCTGAATCTGAGGTAAATGAAGATATAACATCTATCAGTATGTAAAAATCATAACTTTCAGTTGAACCCTTTAAAATGGAAAGTCATCATTTTTTCACCAAAACTATTTAGAAGTGATGCCAAAAGAAATTAAATGGCGAGGCTATAGAAGTAAGTGAGTAAGTGAAAAACTAGAATGTCTAAATTTTAGACCACATGTAAATAATATCAGTAAGAGTTGTTTTTCAATTTTACGTCAATTATATACTAAGTGACATATAAATCGAAACACCCAGTTTAAATGGTTTTATTTTAATAAAAGTTGGTGAATGTATTTACCTTACTGTAAATAACAAGTGAACAAATTTTCAGCCTTATCAGTTGGACATTCCGGTTTTTATACTGCTTTTTTTTAATTCACTAACGCTCTAAAAATGAATATTTCAGCCGCAGTAAAGAATCAACGTTGGCGGATTTTGGTTCTTGACATCCTTTACGATCGGTTACGATGCCTAGAGTACGGAGACCTGTACGATTTCGTCAACTTAGTGAGTTTGATAGGGGCCGTATAGTGGGACTTCGGGAAGCTGGACTTTCTTTTCGGGCAATTGCAGTTAGAGTGCAAAGAAGTGTAGACACTGTGGTTAGGTGTTGTCAGGCATGGCTTCGAGAAGGCCGTACGCAAGGAGCAAGGGGCACTGGACGCCGCCGTAGAACAACAGACCGTGAAGATCGCCGCCTAAGATTATTGGCCTTAAGGGACCGTTTCTCCACTACCAGGTCCTTTGCAAATGAATGGTTTGCAGAACACGGAAGACCTATTGGCATGCGAAGTGTTTACCGATGAATGAGAAGTTTTGGCTTGTTTTCATACCGGCCACACTGGGTCCTCCCTTTAACTCGAGAACACCGACGTAATCGCCTTGAGTGGTGCAGACAACGGTCACTCTGGGATCAGGAATGCAACAGTATTGTCTTTAGTGACGACTCTCGATTTTGTTTAGGCATGCAGGATGGTCGTGCCAGGGTTAGAAGGCGACGTGGTGAAAGGAGGAATCCACAGTTTTTTGTTGAAAGACATGTTCATCACACTGTTGGAGTTATGGTTTGGGGTGCTATAGCTTATGGTTCCAGGTCACCTTTAATCTTCATCAGAGGTAACATGAACGCGCAGCGTTATATCCACGAAGTTCTAGAACCCCATCTTTTACCCTATCTTGACACCCTGGTAGATCCAACTTTCCAACAAGATAATGCCCGACCACATGTTGCAAGAGTCACAATAGAATTCTTTCAACATAATGATGTCACATTGTTACCATGGCCACCAAGATCTCCCGACTTATCCCCAATTGAGCACGTGTGGGATATGATGGGTAGGAGATTGCTCAATTTGCAACGTCCTCCTCAGACTCTAGAAGCACTTCGAGAGGAGTTGGTGGTTGCCCGGAATGAGATACCACAGGAGGACATTGACCACCTGATCAGAAGCATGCCTAGGCGCGTTGGAGAATGCGTAGCACATCAGGGTGCATCCACACATTATTAAAGGTCAAAGGGCTTTAAAGCAGTGCAATCATTTTGAAATTTTTATCATTTACTTATTATGCTTCATTAAGTACTTACACAAAATTTTATTAAAATAAAACTATTTAAACTGGGTGTTCGGATTTATATGTCACCTAGTATATCTTAATAAACAATTTTTTGACTTTACAACTAAACAAATTTTGTGTGAATCTTTGGTAATGTCCAAAACTAGTTATAGCGATTTAGTTTATCTTCCATTTCTTGACTCAATATCTCTAGCAGGTCTCCAAAAAATCCAAAACTCATGTTGTAGGTTGATCAATAATTTGAAAAAATACGATCATATCAGCCCTTTTTTCAATGACATGGAGTGGATGAGAGTAAATGAACTGTGCGAGCTACACTTAGATACTCACACCCACCGGCTTTTGCTATCATCCATTCCGCCGTTTTTGAGAAATAAGCTGATATCTAGAAGCAATATCCATTCTAGGGACAGTCGATTCACAGAAACACTCACATGCCCCTTCATAGGACATCATTCTTTCGTAAATGCTTCACCTACAACGCAATTATTTTTTACAATGCTCTACGTCGATCCACAAAATTGCTATCATATGATGAATTTAAAAGACATATGAAGAAATTTATTTTGAATAGAAGTATATAAATTAGTTGATAAAGTTTATCTATCACCTCGCACAAAAATACTTCCAATATAGCATTCCTTTGTTTTGTATAACTGTTACATTTTTAAACTTCTGACTTATCAAATGTATTTACGTTTTTTGTCTTGTTTTTACAGTTTTCTCTTTTTTTTTTTTGGGTTCAGTGGCGAAGTAGCATTATGCTAAACTTCGCAACCTAAATAAAGACGATTTATTATCATTATTATATTTTTGAAACCCTCGTAAATTTTATTTTTGCAGACGCAAAAATGATGTATGTTTTTTGGATGTCCATCTGTCCGGTAATCCTTGGCTCGTCTATAATTTGGAAAATCGGTCCAGTGGCTGCGGAGCTAAACGCAAAAAGCAAAAAAATTAAAACTGCTTCGTTTTTTGACGTTTCAGAAACTCTGATTATTTATCTTGAAACATGGGGTTTCTGTCCCGCAACCCTGTTAAAACTATTGTTTCTAATCTCAAGGTGGCAACAATTTGAAATCCGGAAGTAGTGAGTGATCTAGCGAGCCATGCTTAAAGTTTAATAATCACTTCCTGTCGAATAATATTAATCAATTCTGCATATGAATTCTGATAATTCGAAGACGAATAACCAATAATTCTAGGATAATTAACGTTAACCGAAGTCATTGAATATACAAAATATTGGATATAGACAGAACTACCACAAATAGTGAAAAAAATGTACTGACATTTTTCAAAAATACGAGTACTGTTACCACAACAACCCCCTGATAATGAATACAATCCAGTGAAAAATACTGTTTATGACTAAACTGAATCCAAATTCAAGATGAGATGTAAATAATAACAGTTAGCGCTTGATCTCTCGGTAACAAGTGGGGACAACGCCTCTTATTGGTCAATTCGCCATTAAATTTCAAGCGGTCGCCTGGCGGAATAATGCGCGGGGCAGGGGCAGGGCAGGCAGAGTTGCACTCAGGCCACCGTCCGTCGCGTGTATCACTGCGTGCTCGTGTTTTCGTATTCACCTTGCTTGGTTGTTGCTGTTGTTGTTATAATAATAATAATAATAATAATAATATTTATTTACTCTAAAATACAGGGAACATGAAACGAGTAAATAAATATAATATATCCATAGGAGGACAACGCCTGTGCATGGATCATATGTATGTTGAATTGCAAAATATAATAAAATAGAGAGAAAAAAGAAATTATTGGTAAGAATGGTAGAGCATTTATTGTGTAATATTTGAGATTATTTTATTAATTTGATTTCTCCCAATCGTGTTAATAAATTTTTTTAATTTTTTTTTGAAGCCTAATGTATTGCGTAATTGTTTTAAATTATTTGGGAAATGTTCGTACAATTTTGGAGCTATATACAGGTGACATCGTTTCATTAGGGATTTGTTTGGTTTAGGAACATTTTTTGCGCGTAATTTATATCTGGTTTTATGATTATGTTCAATTATGTCGTGTTCACTAATAGTTTTGTGATAATGAGTGATGGTATGTAAGAAGTAAAGTTGTTTAGTATCATATACTTGTGCATCATTATATAAGTCATTAGTTGGGTATAATTTTGATTTGCCTAACACTGATTTTAAAATTCTTCTTTGAAGTACATCTAAATCGTTAAAGTATGTCGTGCATGCAGTACCCCACACTACTATACCATATGTTATGTGTGGCTCGACTAAAGCTTGATATATTATTCGTAGATAATATTCAGTTAATATACCGGTTAGAAATTTTATTTTATATGCTATGAATCTAATTTTCTTTAGTATGTGAGAAATATGTACATCCTATCTCAAGTGGGGATCTAGATAAATTCCTAAATATTTTGTATCATTAACTCTATTGATTTTTATATTTTTATCATTTACCTTAAACCGAAGGTGGTTATATTTTGGTAGATGATTAGATAGTGATGAAAATGGTAAAAAATGAGTTTTAGTAAAGTTAATTGTTAATTTTCGGTTATTAAACCACTGAATAATTTTGCAAAAGTCATTTTGGATAATATCTTTTAAGTCGTTCCAATCCTTACCTTTATAGAGTATAGCAGTATCGTCTGCAAAACTGACTATTTTACCAGTACTGTTAATTTTGAATATATCGTTTAAATAAATATTGAATAACAGAGGACCCAAAATTGTACCTTGTGGAACACCACATTTAACAAACATTTCTTTACTATACGAGCTTAATAATTTTACTGATTGCGGTCTATTTGATAAATAATTTTCCATTAAAGTATACATCTTTCCACGAAAACCTATTCTTTCTAAGATTTCCAAAAGTATATTGTGGTTAACTGTGTCAAACGCTTTTTGTAAGTCCACAAATACGCATATCGATGGTACTTTTCCATCTATATTTTGGGTTATTTCATCTACTATACTTAATACCCCATCTGTTGTAGATTTGCCGGCTATAAAACCATATTGATTTGAATTTAGAATTTTGAATTTATTAAGAAAATTAATCATTTTATTAAGGAGTAATTTCTCAAAAACTTTAGCTAAACTTGATATAAGTGAAATAGGTCGATAGTTAGTGACGTCCGTATTATCATTAGATTTATAGATAGGTATGATGATTGCTGTCAAGAAAGCTGATGGAAATACTCCAGATTGGAAGGATTTGTTAATGATGTAAGCAAGTGGTTCTGTTATTTGTTTGGCCAGTATCTTTAGATGTTCAGCTCTAATTTCGTCAACTCCAGGGCTTTTTTTATTTTTTAGAGTCATAATGGCATTGAAAACATCCTGATAGTCTACTTCAGTTAATACAAATGAATTATTCAGTCTTGTTTCATGCAGATGAATATCAGCATTTTGTTTGATATTATTTGCTAAGTTTCCTCCTATATTCGTGAAAAATTCTATGAACTCATCACATATTTGCTGAATATTGTCTGTTTTCTGTCCTGTTTTTGTTTTTATTTCATCAATATTGTTTTTTTGAATAGGATGACTTATTGAATATATCATTGACAGTGGACGATAGGTGTCTAGAGTCATGTGAATTATTATTCAATTGTTTTATATAGTAATTTTTTTTTGCTTTTCTCAAAAGTTCTATAAATTTGTTTTTATACTGATTATAATGATCTATATTTTCTTTCGTGGGTAAATATTTCATGATTTTATACAGTCTTTCTTTTTCGTTTGCAGATTTTATTAGTCCTTTGGTCATCCAATCATTTCTGCTTTTTTCCTTGTGACTTATTTTAACCTTATTAGTACTAACTTCAATTACTTTTTGAATTTTGTATATTAATAAATTTGTAGCTTCGTCTAAAGAATTTGTTAAAAAAATTTCGTCCCACGATTCCGTTTGTGCGTTAAATATTAATTTTGAGTTGTCAGTGAAATATTTGTATTCAAGGTTTCTTTCATTTTTTGCCCTTGGGCAGTTCTGGTTTTTATTTTGTGAAGATATCAATAATACAGTGGAATAATGATTAATTAATAATAATGTTGTTAAGTGTATTTGAGTAATTTGTTAAGTTTCTGTTAAATACTGTCATCTTTGTTTTACAACACGTTGGTGGTAGTCCATCAATCGGAGGTAGCCCTGAATGCGGCCCTGTACGCCGTCCTTGCTTTTGACAATCACGCGTCCATTCTATCTTCGGTGTAAATACACTATAGAAGTAGTCAGAAATACTTATTGGAAATCCGCAGGGGTATTACGTGTGACATTATGCCTTTTATGTTGCCTAAACGGCATGATGCTTCAGCTATCAATGTTTGGCTCCGATGTGATCTGTTTCAGAGACGGCACAGTGAGGATTTGGGTGCTAGTAATCTGTATTGATGATAATTCCATTAGTTTCTTGGCTCAAATTTTATAGAAAGAATTTATCTTACCATGTCAAATCTTAGGATTCCAAATAGTATTTTTGACTACCTATAATAAACAATAGTTTGCACTAGGTTTAGGTACTTTGCCTTTATAACATGATTTCTTGCAGATTCACTTCGACTTTGACGATGAAGCGTCTCTCATCAGGGCCTTTCTTCAATTACATATTCGAGCACATGGACGGGACGATCTCCCCAGTTAAACCGTCATCTGTTCGCAAGATGTTAATAATCTCAGGTCACGGTACAACAATATCCCTTATCTTGAACACCATGGGCGTATTTGACGGATATCCGCCCGATTCTGGTGCTACTATCTTATGGGAGTTGAGAAGAAGAGCAAACGGACAATACTTCGTTAATATTTATTTGAAATCTGGCAACAACGTGAAGGAACTATCTATCAGAGGATGTGATTTCAAGTGTAGTTACGAGGACTTCAAGAACGCCATGGGCAACATTACATTGGATATAGACAGCTGGGAGAAAGAGTGTCATGGCCTTACTGATACGTTTTATTGAACGTCGAAGAAACGTATCAGCCTGGTATCATATTTGGAAAAATGAAATAAGACGACCAAAGAGATTAATCTAATTTTGCGAGTTGTGCCGTAACTACTCGAATCGACGTATTTAATTTGTTTAGCTAAATATGTCCATGTAACAGTATTTTATTTTTAAGGAATAAACTTATTGCTCACCTAAGCCTGGTAACTGATTTCCGCAAAGTTGGGGTGTTCCTTTTCAGAAACAACTACCCTTGAAATAACAAAGGTAATGTGTAGTGAAACGAGGGCGACCAAGTAAAAAAAAATAAAGGAAAAAGTAGTCACTCTCCAGTTGACGAGAAGGGCTAAGTACGTCTCTGCCCGAAATTATACCGCTCCAATAGAAAATGAAATCAGCTGATGCGCTACCGAGCAGACGCCGGCGGTGGTGCAGACCACGAACACAGGTAACAAATATGACCATCGTGCAGAAACCACATTGATTGTCTTACACTTAATGGCACATCATCTTCTAACAAGGAAGGCAAAATGTTGCGTAAAAAGTCTAGGTATTGCATCCCGTCCAATCGATTTGGGAGGATAAATGGTCCAATGAGCATACCGTTCACCATGCCAGCCCAAACATTCACCGAAAATGTTTGTTGAAAATGTGCCCGACGGACAGCGTGCGGATTTTCTACTGACCAAACATGAGTGTTGCGAAAGTTATTCACCCCATTACGCGTGAACGCAGATTCGTCTGTTACCAATATGCACTTCAAAAAGTCCGGATTATTGTCATGTTGATGCAACAACCACTCACAAAACCGCACTCTTGCTGGAAAATCGTCAGGTTGAAGGGCTTGTACACGTTGGACGTGAAACGGATACAGCCCCTCTTCACGCAGCGTTTGCTACACTTTAGTTTTTGATACTTGCACTTCTCTAGCCACGTCTCTAGTGCTCGTCTAAGCGATTACCTCTACACGCGTGACCGTAACCGTCGATTGAAGGTTGCATACTGACCTGACACACTGACCCCGACCCAGTTCTGCCGTCGGGTTGAGACCTTATACCAGTCGGGGATATCGCGGCGGGTCGCGGCTACAGGACGGTATTCAGATATTTTTGATGTTGCAGAGCCCTTTATATCGGTTCCCTTAAGACATTGGTGTATATGGTACTAAGAAAAATTGCTTATGTTTTCAAGATCTACTTGTCGTGTAAAGGAAAACCCCAACTTTGCGGACACCCTGTATTTTATAGGTGGTGTTCATTTGAAAACTTTCCACCACGGATTTATCGAGAAAAAACGCCGAGACACGTCAAAAGATTTGTCAAGGGGGACAACTTTTTAACCGAAAACTACTTCACCCTCGTTTCACCTTCTGCCCCCAGGGTCAAAAATTTTAAATAATAATAATATAATAATAATAATATTTATTTACTCTAAAATACAGGGAACATGAAACGAGTAAATAAATATAATATATCCATAGGAGGACAACGCCTGTACATGGATCATATGTATGTTGAATTGCAAAATATAATAAAATAGAGAGAAAAAAGAAATTATTGGTAAGAATGGTAGAGCATTTATTGTGTAATATTTGAGATTATTTTATTAATTTGATTTCTCCCAATCGTGTTAATAATTTTTTTTAATTTTTTTTTGAAGCCTAATGTATTGCGTAATTGTTTTAAATTATTTGGTAAATGTTCGTACAATTTTGGAGCTATATACAGGTGACATCGTTTCATTAGGGATTTGTTTGGTTTAGGAACATTTTTTGCGCGTAATTTATATCTGGTTTTATGATTATGTTTAATTATGTCGTGTTCACTAATAGTTTTGTGATAATGAGTGATGGTATGTAAGAAGTAAAGTTGTTTAGTATCATACATTTGTGCATCATTATATAAGTCATCAGTTGGGTATAATTTTGATTTGCCTAACATTGATTTTAAAATTCTTCTTTGAAGTACATCTAAATCGTTTAAGTATGTCGTGCATGCAGCACCCCACACTACTATACCATATGTTATGTGTGGCTCGAGTAAAGCTTGATATATTATTCGTAGATAATATTCAGTTAATATACCGGTTAGAAATTTTATTTTATATGCTATGAATCTAATTTTCTTTAGTATGTGAGAAATATGTACATCCCATCTCAAGTGGGGATCTAGATAAATTTCTAAATATTTTGTATCATTAACTCTATTGATTTTTATATTTTTATCATTTACCTTAAACCGAAGGTGGTTATATTTTGGTAGATGATTAGATAGTGATGAAAATGGTAAGAAATGAGTTTTAGTAAAGTTAATTGTTAATTTTCGGTTATTAAACCACTGAATAATTTTGCAAAAGTCATTTTGGATAATATCTTTTAAGTCGCTCCAATCCTTACCTTTATAGAGTATAGCAGTATCGTCTGCAAAACTGACTATTTTACCAGTACTGTTAATTTTGAATATATCGTTTAAATAAATATTGAATAACAGAGGACCCAAAATTGTACCTTGTGGAACACCACATTTAACAAACATTTCTTTACTATACGAGCTTAATAATTTTACTGATTGCGGTCTATTTGATAAATAATTTTCCATTAAAGTATACATCTTTCCACGAAAACCTATTCTTTCTAAGATTTCCAAAAGTATATTGTGGTTAACTGTGTCAAACGCTTTTTGTAAGTCCACAAATACGCATATCGATGGTACTTTTCCATCTATATTTTGGGTTATTTCAACTACTATACTTAATACCCCATCTGTTGTAGATTTGCCCGCTATAAAACCATATTGATTTGAATTTAGAATTTTGAATTTATTAAGAAAATTAATCATTTTATTAAGGAGTAATTTCTCAAAAACTTTAGCTAAAATGGCAAGGGGTATCGAGTAATAGCTTGTTTGAAAGATCTTTCGAAGTCCTTTATTTTGTTGTTTGATTTTTTAAAATCGGTCAATTCGTTTTCCAGAAAATTAGAAAAATATTTATTTATTATTCAGATAGAAAACAAAAACACTAGAAACTATCACTTTTTATTTCAATAAATGTTGCCCGCTTTCGGCCAAGCAATGATACAGGCGATGTTCAAATTCCTGACGGACATTTTCAAAAACATGTTGTGGCATACCATGGCAGCTTTCGATGATGCGTTGACAAAGCTCATCCAAACTTTCAAATTGGGGAGTAAACACAATATATTTTAAATGGCCCCATAGAAAAAAGTCTAATGGCGTCAAATCAGGAGATCTAGCAGGCCATCCTATAGGCTCTCTAAAATGCCTGCCCATACATTAATTTTTTGGGGGTACTGGCTTACAAAAGCATGAGGATTTTCATTGCTTCAATACCTGCAGTTATGCTTATTAACAAATCTATTTAGATAAAATGTGCATTCACCACTGAAGCAGATACTCTTTACATGACTGGTATTATCGTTAATCGCTGCAATATTTGTTCACAAACCTCAAGTCGCCTATCGAAATCATCTTAGGTTAAGACCTGCAATATTTTCATTTTGAATGGATGAGATTTAAGGAGTTTAGTAGCTCTGTGTACAGAGCCTAATGAAATACCAGTCACACCAACAATTTTGCGTAATGAAGTAATGGATGATTTTTTTGCTAGTATCTTTTTGGCAACACTGTTTTTGACAGATGACGCGTGAATCGTGTCTTGTGTCATTGTCAAACTTGTTCAGTTTGGTCTATAATTTAACCATGAATCGAGTTACGAACGAACAGCGCTTGCAAATTATTGAATTTTACTATCAAAATTCATGCTCGGTGAGGTCAGCTTGTGACTAAATTTCGAACCCAGTTTACATTATTGGACATTAAACCACCAACACGCAGACTTAGAGTGAGGACTGAAGAAAATATTGCGGCCGGTGGCATCATCGGGCCGTACTTCTTCAAAGACGACAATGGCCGGAACGTACCTGTGAATGGCGAGCGCTACCGTGCGATGATAACAAACTTTTTTGCCCAAAATGGAAGAGCTGGACTTGGCTGACATGTGGTTTCAACAAGACGGTGCCACATGCCACACCGTACACGAAACAATGGCCCTATTGAGGGGCGAGTTCGGTGAACAGTTTGGGGCCCGTCAATTGGCCGCCTAGATCGTGTGATTTAACGCCGTTGGACTATTTCTTGTGGGGCCATGTTAAGGCTAATATCTACAGGGATAAACCAGCAATGATTCACGCACTGGAAGCCAATATTGCAGCATTTATTCTTGAGATACCGGCCGATATGTTGGAGAGAGTGTGCCAAAATTGGACCTTGCGCAAGGGCCGCGGCCAACATTTACATGAAATAATCTTTAAACATTGAATTATATCGACCGTTCTATCGACTCAAATAAAGATTTAATCGTTTTTTCAAATTTTTTGTGTTTTTTTTGAAAATCAAATGATTCTAAAATGATCCAACTTGTGTGGCTTCATCCAAAACTCTCCGATGACCACGTTTTTTATTTGCGTTCGAGTAAATTTAGTCACAAGGTCCAAAACATGCCAAGCACATTGATTTTGGGCAGCTTAAATTAGAATCATTTCCCACTCTTTCGGCTAGTGTGTGAACCATTTTGGAAGTAAAATCTGAATCATATACAGCATCGTCGGGAGTACCACAGGGGTCGAATTTAGGACCATTGCTCATTTTGCTTTTTATAAATTATACAATGATTGTGGAATATTGATATTTGCCGATGACTTTGAAATGAACACCATTACTGATTCTATCTGCAATGTCATTTACCAACTTGCCATGTGCACGAATTACAACAGCATATGCAATTATTTCGACATTTTCTTGTGTTCCCTACCTGAACTCAAGCGGGTCCTATTTTTTTATATTCCTGTATTTTATTGAATAGTGCACATTTGTGTATCGGTTTTCTTTTTTGCTGTTTTTCGTGTTTTTTGTGATGTAAATGTAATGTTCTCTTGTGCAATAAATGCTATTATTATTACTTTTTTTATCTGTGATCTAAAACTCATATTTCCATTTCAGTTTTCCCAATTAGTTTTTATAACTTGAAATTATTTTAATTGAGGTTACTCAGCCAAATTATCCGACAAATTTTAACCATATATGCACTGTTACGAAAAACCTGAGTTTCAATAATAAATTGAAAAATAAATATCTATATTTTGCGTTCATCGTCGTGATATTAGAACACGCATTAATAATGCAAATGTTGTACAAAACAACTGACGAAAACAAAATACCAGGATTTTTTTTCATACTGATAAGAACGTGTAAATAAGGTGTAATCTGTATCGTCGGTGACCTGAATGAAGAACGTATTTTGCGAGTTTATGTGTTAAGTTATTTGTTAATAAAAATGGCACATGTGTACCCTAATGAGGAGTTAGTTAATTTGTTTTACAAAATATTTACGTTCATCTTTAAGG